ATGACATGAGACAAAGTATATGTGAACTGCTGTATGAAAAGTGAATTTACTCTGTAAATCTTCACCCAAATCCTAATTAAAAAAAAAAAAAAAAAAAAAGACTGCCTACACCCAGAGATCACTAGAAAGGATTCTAAAGGCTATTCAGGTGAAAAAGATGATGTTTGCAGATATTAACGACCTATGTAAATAATATTTAAACTCCAGGAACTGGACCATCATAGAACCAGGCAATGTCCTCAATGAGATCCAGGTGTAAGTAAATATTTGATTTAAATTAGGGAAGTTTCTGTCTCTGCCGAGGAGACCTATGTAATTCTGATGCCATCCCTGTCCAAAGTGGTCCAATGACAGGGAGGGACTATGTTGAAAACACCATTCCTTGTGTTCATGCAGAGGACTAGAGCTGACCAAAAAGAAAAAAAAAAAAAAAATACACCAACTCACTGCCATTGAGTCGATTCAACTCACAGTGACCCCTCGTTGGTTTTCCGAGGCAGTATCTCTACAGAAGTAGATTGCCCAACCTTCCTCCCTAGGAGTGGCTGGTGGGTTTGAATTGCCAGTCTTCCAGCTAGCAGTCAAATGCCTTAGGCATAACGCCACCAGAGCTGCCAGAATTGACCAGGAAGGCTGAAAGTGGCATGGTTAACAGCAAGTGAGGGCCACTCAAAGAGCCCTCTGGAGGGTGTTGTCCATAACATATGCTCATACCAAAACATCAAACCCACATAGTAACTTGGGAGCTGAACCAGAATTGACAGTGCCTTTAAATCTCCCTTCTTCCACCACCCCCTGCTGCCCCAGAGTTTTGGATTCGAAGCTACTGTGTACTATAAACATTGGGTACTGCTATAAGCTTAATTGTTGTTGTTGTTATATGCCCTGGAGTCGGCCCTGACTCATAGCGACCCCTCCTTGGGACCCCTCCTTGGGTTTCCGAGGCAGTATCACTACCGAAGTAGATTGCCCAACCTTCCTTCCGATAACTTAATAGGTGATCTAATTGTAATTATTCCTAAGACATGCTTTAAAAAGACTATAAAAATCAGCAAGATTGTTAGAGTATAATTTATAAATTTTCAAATGTTTAAAGTATGGAAAGAAGAGCACATTAAATAAAAAATGGTGCCTTGTGTATGAGTTGGAATCAACTTTATGGCAGCAGGTTTTATGTATGAATAAAAATTGTTTGGTTTGTGAAATTTTAATATGTCTTTGAGCATTGCCAACTAGGAATGATACGCTAATAAGAACTGGCAATCATGTCAGAATCTCTCTCTAAATGTTTCCCAAACTATATTACATGGAACAAGTTAATGACGTTCCTTAGAAAAGGGGTAAGTCTGATCCTGTAACCCCTCTTCTTGGCTATTCACAAGGCAAATTCACATAATAAATGCTCTAAAAAATCTTGAAGTAAAGAAACTTTCCTATATGTGAACGTTGCCCTAAATTATTTGCCCATAGAACTATATTTTTTTTCCCCAAAGAAAATCTAGTGACATCATGTTCAGTGTAACATGATTTGGACAATGCTACTCTAATATATTTCTTATCTCATCAAATAAGGTTAAGTCTGCATCTATATTAAGGTCCCTAACAACAGACCATAATATATAGATGCAGACTGGATCTAGACATGTTTGATGAGGTAAGGAACATATTAGAGTAGCATTGTCTAAACCCTGTTATATGAACAAGATGTCAACAGATCTTCCTTGGGAGAAAAAAACAACTAGGGTGTATTGGTAGGGATGAGGGAAAAACTGAAGTTATCAATGATTTCATTCTACTTGGATCCACAATCAACGCCCATGGAAGCAGCAGTCAAGAAATCAAACGATGTACTGCACTGGGCAAATCTGCTGCAAAAGATCTGTTTTTAAAGAGTTCAAAAACAAAGATGTCACCCTGAGGACGAAGGTGTACCTGATCAAAGCCAAGATATTTTCCAGTGCTTCACATGCATGTGAAAGCTGGACAATGAATAAGAAAGACCTAAGAACTCATACATCCGAATTATGGGGTTGGTCAAGAATACTGAATATACCATGGATTGCCAGAAGAAAGAACAATCAATCTTAAAAGAAACAACTGGAATGCTCCTCAGAAGCAAGGATGTGAGACTTGGTCTTGCTTACTTTGGACACATCACCACTAGAAAAGGATGTCATAGTTGGTAAAGCAGAGGGTCAGTGATAATAAGAGAAACTCTCCATGAGATGGACTGACCCAACAGTCACAATGATGGACTCAAACATCCCAACAATCATGAAGATGGCACAGGATCAGGCAACATTTTGTTCTGTTATACGTAAGGTCACTAAGAATCGGAGTTGAGTCCACGGCAACGAACAATAGCAATTAGTAGGGAAAATGCATTGTACTCATAATCGTCTCTATTTGCAAAGTATACAAGAGTATGAGGTGATATAATTATTACATTTGTGAAAATTTTTCTCCTTCTATCCTATTATAGGTAAGGAAACTTTTAAGGGTAGGCCATGATCCTAGGTGAACTCTTTTGTTCTTAGAGCTTAATTATGAGAGGCAAGAAACCAGGATGTCTCAGTTCTATTCACCTTCTTCTCTGTGTGTCCTGAGGAAGTCCCTATCTTCGTTTCTTCATATGTAACTTGTGGAAGCCCGGACTAAATGATCCCTACATTCCTCAACTGCTCTGATACTCCCTACGAAGATGCACAGGAATCGGAGCCAGATCTTCTTCTAGTAATAAAACATGAAGTGTGGTTTGGACATTACATCATTTGCTACCTGTGTCAGCCTGGACCCGCCTATTTGAGAGCAAAGAATAATTTACAAGCAGAAACACATGAGAATATAATACATTTGGGATAAAATCTATTCCTAGGCTTCAAAGAAGAAAAGGAAGGAGAAATAAAGGAAACATTATGCAAAGTCGCAAAGACTAGAGAAGGGCTCACATGCTAATAATGTATTTTTATTTTTTTAATACAGGCATACCTCAGAGATATTGAGGGTTTGGTTCCAGACCATTGCAATAAAGTGAATATTGTAATAAAGTGAGTCACACAAGTTTTTTTGCTTTCCAGTGCAATGGAAGTTATGTTTACACTATAATGTAGTCTATTAAGTATGCAATTAAAAAAAAAAAAAAAACCACAGCCATAGAGTCGATTCCAACTCACAGCACCCCCTAAAGGAGAGAGTAAATCTGCCTGGCAGGGTTTCCAAGGTTGTAAATCTTTACAGCCTCATCATCTCTCTCCCGCAAAGCAGCTAGTGGGTTCAAACCACGGATCCATTGTACCACCAGTGCACTTTAAGTGTGCAAAAATATTATGAAAAAGTTTGAAATATTATGTGAATTACCAAAAATATGACACACAGATAGAAGTGAGCATATGCTGTTGGAAAAAAGGCACCAATAGACAGGGTTGCCACGAACCTTTTTTTTAATTTGTATCTGTGAGGCATAATTACATCGAGCACAATAAACTGAGGTATGCTTGTATTCAAGTACAAATTGACTAGATTAAACTCCTTGTAAGGGCTAATTTTGTTACACTAAAAGGTGCGCAGACTCTCTCAGTCTTTAAGGATGTCCATTCAAAGCACCATGGTGGCAATTTATCTAACGATTACCTTAGCTGGGAAAAGAAACCAATGTCTTCTCAAATGTGTCTATAC